GATGCTCCTGCTGCGCAACACGCAGGGCTGAGGTTCGTCTCGCCTCAGGCCCCAGCGCTGAAGGTCCTGCCTTGGGTGGCAGGGAGACGGCCGCAGGGAGGCCACGTGCCTCCAGGGGCTTTGCAGATCTCATCAGCCTGACTTTCCCAACCAGCTCGGGCTGTGCAAGCTGAACGTGCATCTAGTCCCGCTCCCAGCTTCAGTCCGTGAGAAGAGCACCTCCAGCATCCAAACCACCCTCCAGGTCAACCTGGAGAACATCTCAGCTCAGGCGGTGGGAGGCATTCTTTGTGGCTGCCTAAGATCCAGGCCTTCCTCCTCCTCTGTTCCCAACACTCCTAGTTCACCTGTGCCAGACGGCCGAGGCAGCCAGCTTGCCCCTCTTCAGGCATTGACTTTTCATAAGCAAAGTGAACCCCTCCATGGGGACACACCAACCACCCTACGAGCTGCAGCGGAGCTCTACAAACATGGGGTTTGCTAGGCGGCCCACAGCCCTGCCAGCAAGGCTCCACAGCTGATTTCCCTCAGCCCTGGCACAAGCTGGCTGCTCACTCAGACTCCCACCACTCCTTGGAATTCAGAAGCCTCTGGAAATGTGCCATAACCTTCACAGGGTTTTCCTGGAATCCCCTTCCCTCTCTAATAGTTATGGTGTCTTCAGGCCCTGACTCACGTGATGGGTTTGGTACGCAACTCCTAAGGCCAGGAAGGTCGCTCACCTCGGTTATTTAGCAAACAGGACACAAATTATTAACACTAATACAAATAATGCCCACGTTTGAGAGAGGAGAAGGAACACTCTCCTTGCCTTGTTGCTAGGATTTGGCATTACAGAAACTGGAGCGTCCTCAGAGTGCAGAGCTCACCAGCCCTGAGGGTCTCTGCTCTAATGACAGGACCCACATCTCAGCTCACATCAGGCCTGTAAATGAGGGGTAGATGTTTCCAAAGGTGTTCTGTGGAAGCCAGCTCTAATTCTGCTGCAGTACCAGTCATGTAATTTCCACAAATCAATGCAAAAGAAAAAAAAAAAAAAAAAAAAAGCAGCTGGCTCAGCAAAAGCTGCTGCAGCCCAAGAGCAGAGTATTGCACTCGTTGGCCCAGCACGTCCCTTCCTGTGCGCAGCTTGTACCTTGTCCCTTGAGGACATTCTTGTCCAAGGCTGTAAGAGGCTCCAGCAATATTTAAGATAAAAAAATTAAGACTATTCACAGCATTCAGGTTTGTTCTCCTTTGCAGAAGTTCTTATGGCACCCACCTGCCCTGGGCCACCAGGCTCCTCCGTTGGAAGGGAAGGAAAGACCAGCATAGGACATTCTTCCATGGTGTGCGACTAACATGAAACTCCCATCTAGATGTTTTCATATTAGCAAGTTTTCCTGTGAGTAGAGGTATACGTGGAGCCTGGTGTCTATAGGCTGGACTGGAGGCATGGATCTTGTGAATGAGCTTTGCTCTTTTAGGGTAAAGCTACCAAATAAAAGTATTCCTGCCTTTGAGACAATCACGTTGCCTCTATAACGTGCAGACTCCCTCTTGTCTAGAAACAGATGGCTTGAGCTGTTTGAGCTGGGCATATTCACAAGCTGATAATCATCTCCAGGGAAGCAGGAGCTATTGTCAGAGCCTGTGAGACACACCCCAACTTCAGGCCTTTTTCCTTCTAATTCTCAAAATGTTGCTGAAATTCTCACTACAGGAATGCTGAGCAGAGACATTCCCTTTGTGGGTCCATGCCCGCTAAGCCAGAAGAGGCTCCTGGCTTCCAGAGAAGCCAAAGTGCTTCCCCACACCTTGCTAAGAGAAAGCATCTCTAAACACAAGGGCCTCACCTGGCCAGCAAAAAAAATACAAGCTGCGCTTTGCTGTGGTACTGCCAGGAGCCACGGGGAAGAATATATCCTCTCCCAGAGAGAGCACACAAGTTAAAATGAGAAAGCAAAAGAAAACAACTCTGCAGAAGGAACAGTTATTTCACACTCCGTGCAGCTCCAAGACGCGTGTCAGCGTGGCTGCCAATGTAAAAGAGCACGTGCCCGAGGCACACACGCCTGGTGCCAACGCGCAGCGATGTACAGAATTTGTAACAGCGATGCTTGGCGCCGATATGCATCTGCTGCCTAAGAAACCAAAGGTATCATTGAACCTAAATTAATAATCTACACTGCCGTCATTTCTCTACAGGGCAAAAACCTCTCCGGGGAATGCTGTCCAGCTGCTCTAGCAGGAAGACGGCACTTTACTGACACGCCAGGTCTCTCCTGATGCCAGGTCAAGAGAGACCCTGCACCCAGCTCACTCTGCCTTGGAAATCTGCTCCCACTCAAGCCCAGCTGCACAGCGTGTGACGCTCAGAGCTGGGATGCCTCCACAAAAAGTTCCGTTCCAGCTGGGATACCCAGACAGAAAGCAGTAATAAGCCCAGATGCACGCAGAGGCTGGCAGAGACGGGACAGGTGGCTCTCACACAATGCCTAACCATGCTCACAATATTTACGGCACGAATTTCACTCATTTTAATTCAAGAGTGATTAGTCTTGGAAGGAAGCAAGTAAGAGTTGGCTCAGAATGGGGCATGGTTACCTTGAGCTGGATGGAAAGAGACAGCAAGATCAGCACAAGAAATAAACTCATGTGTGCAAAACCAGGCGGAGTGGCACACCCCTCGGGGTAGCGCAGCTTCACTGGGATCCAGAATGCCTCAGAAAAGCCTCTGTCAGCAAGTCCTGCAATGAGACTACACAAGCAGTCAAGAACATGATCAAAAACAGGACGGATTTTTCTAAGTTACTGTCCTGGTACTTGGACTCACGAGTACAAGGGACACTCTGCTCACCCACCTGCTAGCCAAGCAATATCGAGAAAGAGAGAGTAAGACATATCTCATGTTGACTGGCACTTTTAAATTCTTCTTCCTTAGCAGAAATGCCAGTATTTTCTAGTCTTAACTGTTTCCGAGGCTGTGATATTTCATGCCTTGTCTCTTCTTGGCAAGCGATCATCAGTTACTTCTAACAGATGATCTAGCAATAGTCTCGCATCACAGCATGTGAGAAAAGAGGCAGCCCTGTATTTGTAACCAGTGTATCGCTTCAGAAAGAAGACTCTTCACTTGATCTGTGTAAATATGCTTATTTATTCATTTTCTAAAAGTAAGTCTATTTCTAGTTATAAAGGGCTTCGCTCTCCTTTTACAGTTCCTTTTTGCTTTAGTTCTTCAAATAAAGAAACCATTTTGCTCACCATCGAATCCAGCAGTCCATAAACCTGCAGCAGAAATTAACAGAAGATAGTTGCAGTGAAAACACACAAAGAAATTCTGATGACGAGACTAACAGACAGAGAGATGGTTTCTCAAGCAGGAGCACGCTAACGTACGGGCACGCACGCGACCACGTAGAAGCAGCTGCCTGCTAACAGAGCTTAGCTCTAGGAAGAACTTTTCTGGCTATGAAGAGTGTTTAACATTATCTGAGATACAATTAATCCTGCAGATCTCTCAAGAGTCCACAAGCATGTTAAAGACATCCCAGATAGAAATCCCGCATGTGGGTATGTGATGGCTGGATTTATGTCAACAGATTCCAGGCTGGAACAAAGGACATCTTACTTTGCATTTCACACTTACCTCGCTACAGAATTACAGACATATGTTTGTCAGTATCCTGAGTTTAACAAAACACTTACCTCTCCACCTAAGCTTCAATGTAAGCTTACAAGCAAAGAACAAAAACAAGAAACAAAGATATAAGCTTTGGTCAGGCTCACTTCAATATAAAGTTTCTCCTGGTACATCCCAAACAAAGTAGGGTCCACCTGCTCCTGAGGAGGTTCTCCTCTATCTGTAGTTGCAGCTTCCATGGGCTGTGCTCCCTCTTTCACCACCTGTGATGAAGTGGAAGATTTCAGCTTCTTCTCATCTTTTAACTTTCTGCTGCTTGGACGTTCCTATTCAGGGACGGATAAACAAACAAACAAACAAAGTCACATGGGTCAGAACATCTTTCATATTGTTTCAAGATGCGCCTTCCAGAAGCAGCACCTCTTTCATTGGGTTCGAAATCAGCTCAAACTCAGGATACACAACCTCAGAATGGACCACACTGTCTCCAGCACTTGGGTTTCAACAGGCATCCCAACACATACCTCTTTCGCTTTCCCTGCTGTCTTTGTTGTTCTTTTTTTGCCTTCTTTATCCTTAGCACCAAACGAACTTCTCTCTTCTTTCCTAGTGGTTATTCTGTCTTCCTTTCTTCCTTTTAAAGGTTGCTTTACTTCCACTACAAAAGAAAGAATTTCAATTACCCAAAAGCAGCATTTTCACATTCGGAAAGACAAGCTCACTGCACTCATGCAGTGGAAGTATATTACTTTTGCAATGTATTTTCTTCTTTTTATTAATCCGAGCTGTACTGCACTGAAAAACAATACCTTGAAGAGTACTTTCTTAAAATAAGGAATGAACAGGTCTCAGATGTGTATCAGAACAAGCCTGTAAGACAGCTAATAGTGAGATAGAGTTTTCTGGGTTAGTCTGTGTGAAAACCATGGCTACACCTAGCTAAATTAAAAGGCTTATTGGAGCGGTGGTTTTTTAATGACACCAAATCACAGGTCACAATTAGCATCACATGATCTGTCACTTTTTCTAAAAAAGCTTTGAGGGGAAACTGCTGAAATTGCCATTTCAGTTGACATTCAGCATGTTTTCCAGGATTTCCAACAGTCCACAAAAACCAGTTGCTATGTTAAAACTACCATTTACCTGTTTCCTCTAGGACAACATCTACAAAAGTGGTGTTCTCAGGCAAGCCAAGCATGGATCTCAGCCTCACAGAGTGACTCACCAAACCGTCAATTGTTTCACGCCACAGCTGGAGACTGAGAAAAGTATCAGAATGAGAAGGGAGATAGTACAGCAGTTGCCATCTTGTTTTACCCTGTGCCCAGGAGTGAAGGCACCTTACATCTGAGAGCTGCTCTGTCCAGCTAAACCAATAAAATAGCACTCACCATCGAAAACTCTGTGCAGAGGGATGCTAAATTACTTTCCTCGTGTTCGAACCTTCTAAAGTCTCCATGGTTTGCAAATCAATGGGCTCGTATGGACCCATAAATATTACTGTGAAACTAGATCTCCTGCTCTTCAGCATGACACATGTTGGTAAATCAGCATCGACCTGCTCTCTGTGTTTACCAAGAGGAACCTGCATCCTTCTAATTTAGAAGCAACTAGAAGCTGTTGATATGTTTACAGTCTGAAAGCCTGAGCAAAGAACAGACAGACTCTACAAGGGAGGATACAGTTATCTGAGTAAAAGGGTACAGAATATTACCCAGAGGTTTCATAAATATAGACTAGAATAATCTTGCCAAAAATAATCTTGTATACTCCCCAAAATTACATGAATTTAATATTCTAAACTTATCTCTATCTCTAGGAAAGAAAAAAAAAAAAAAGGCATTTGGGTCCTAGACAGCTGCTACAAGCTATAAAAAGACAGAGTGTAAAGACAACTTCTAGACCTCATATAATTATCTGCACTTTGAATCACAACGCTTGCAACAGAGCTTGCTGAGGCTGTTGATCACACAATGCGTTTACAAGCTTTATCTTGCAAAGGTAACGCACCAGATTGGATAGAAAAGATCTGACTGAGTTGGCCTCTGTTCAACACACAGCTCCAGTGCTGCGGAATTGAGCTGGGTCAGTGCTTGCTCTCGCTGCTCCTCCTTGGGGATCGACTTTATAGCCTAATGTGAGAGAAAACACAGGGTCTGTGGAGCACTTCTTCTGTCTTCCTTCCCAGTCTGTGGACCCTGAGCTCAATGGAGCATACCACAGCTCTCTTCCTGTACACCAGTCTGAAACCAGGTTGCACTGAGCACTTATGCATCCAGGTGTGGCCTCCTTCTATATGGCTGGGATTTGGCCAAGGTGCACACGCAACCCAAGATCTGGGGAGCAATCCCAGACCCCCCCAGTTAGACTGACAGTAAGGCCCTTTGCAACTTCACAGGTGTGCTGGAGAACAGAGCTTCTAGGGCATTAGAAGGCCCCAAAGTAAAGATTAGTTACAAATGCAGCACAGATATTTCCAAGAGAGCACTACAGAAAAACTGGGCTAACAGAATCCAAACCACACTTTCTTTAATCTAAGGAGGTCTGTACTTTATCCACAGCCTGTCATGAGTGCCTCCAGTGCTCTGATGAATAGGGAGGGCTCTTCAAGAGAGGAGCCCTGGGGAAAGCCACAGGAGGCTGTAGGGTCAGCCTGCCCCCCCCATTCAGTCCTGGGATGACAGAAAGTTAATGGGGGAAGAGCTTAAAATATCTATTATATTGCATAGTTCTCTTTTCTTCTTCACATAACAGTCCTCAAAGTTTCCCTTGGGAATCTCTTTACTAGAGCACTGAGGGTTTGGTCAGCAGAAGTGCTTTTCTGCAACACACACAATAAATGTTCTCTAACTCACAGCACATTGGAAGCAGACCTTTGGGTGGGCTCACACTGGGGTAGGCCAGGCTGTTTGTCGGGAAAAGAAAACACCACCAGCTTGCCATAGCACTAGAGAGAACAGGGGTGCCCACCTGCTTAAAGTCCTCTAAGGAGAGGTTCCATGCTGAGGGGCCTGGTTCTTTCTCCTCCATGTTTGTTGTTTGACTCAGAGCTTCCTCAAGCGTGTTCTTCCAACCTGGGACCTCTCTGGTGCTGCTCTGAGCAGGATGAGCCTCTGAAGAACTCTCCTGGTACTGCACATCCTCCGCAGGGCTCTTCTGGCCCAAGGGCACTTTCTCCTCAAAGGCTGAAGGGACAGTAATGTGCTGTCTCCATAGCTCATGCAGCTGTTTTACCACGTGATGCTGATAATGCAACTGTGATAACAAGGAAGAGGTAAATAATGAAATGAGTTGTGCCTTTCCCCTACAAACCTAATTGTTGAAGCCAGCTCAGCAGACTATGCCAGCCTCCAGAAAGCCAGGGATGCACCAGCCCCACCAGTCTTCCCCCTCTGCTATTTCACTTGTGTAACCCATCAAATGGCGAATGTAACCTCGGGATTCTTCCAGTGGAACAACTCTTCCTCTGTGACATAGGCATCCACAGGAGATGGGGTGCGCTCTGGGGTCCGAATTTGGACAAGTTCCTTCATATTCTTTTCTACAGTAGCAGCTTCTCGAGCAGCCAGGTCAGTCTGAGGCACCACAACAAGCACAACGTGTGAGTCTCTATTCCATATACAGACACATAGCAAACTCATACCCACACTAGTAACCACAGGTACACATTATAGAGGGTCACAAGGACAAGAATGACTGCAAACCCTGCTAAGCAGAGTGATACTTCCAACAGCTTTTCAAATAAACCCCACAAATCCTCCCCAAATTATACTTTTCAGAGCATAGTGTAATTTTCAATTTAAACCTTAACTGATACTGTCGTGTACGACCCATAGTCCCATCCCCACTCAGTAACTAAAGAAATTCATTACCAACAGAAAATTCATTCTCTAAAGGACCAACGTGAACAGTTTAGGAGACACAATCATGTCTCTATTAACAACATTACAATAGACTGCAGAGTTCTTCCATTTTATGTAGCAAACCTGCTCAGGTATGTACAGATGTTCTGTGAATAAACAATCATCTTGCTCTCAGCCCTAATTGCATGCAATAAAAATACCATGTCATCCTCTCCCACCCTTGTCCCCTATTTGTATATTACGTTCAAAGCTCACAGTTACCCAGTTACATGCTTGGTTACCTCCAGTTTCTCTCGGAGGTCAGCCAACTTATCCTCGTACACACTGATTCCCCAAAGGGTCACCTGCAGCAGAGCTCCACCTAATAACAGAGGATGTGTCCTAAATTCCCAGGACTCGCTGAAAACTCCTGCTCTCTCTGACTTGAAAAGAAAGGAAAACTTCCTAGTTTGAGCAGGCAAAATTACACCTGGAACAAGAGAGAAAATGCATCAGTCTGCAAGAAACCACCTGGTTAACTTGACTCTTTTCCTACCCCACCCTGAGTGTCCTTATCTCTGTATGAGACTCTTTGCCCACAGCTTAGCTGGTTATCGCACTTCATCCAGCTATTTTCCTCCTTCCTGATTTACTCCCAGTCACCATGTTACTGAACAGGTGTTATCTCCACTGCATGCTCCTTTTACAGCAAGCTCAGTACTCTGGCAGATTATGCCCAGTTTGCTATCAGAAAATGATTCACTTCTCAATATTCCACCCATTTACATTCAGAGTAGGAGCAACTTTTAAGTCCCATGAAAGGGACCTGCCTCGCACACCTCCTTTTGTGTGAGTCAGCTCTGACACCCAGGGTGGCTTCTCAAGGAGAATCACCCAACAGGCTTGCTCTGCCATGAGTCAGACTGAGCATCTCAGGTCTAACTCTGGAATACACGCTCTCTGGTCTATGCACAAAGGTCTTGGAGATCAGCAGCTCTCATACCTGGTCTGGTATCAAAGTAAAAACATGGCATCCTCTTCCCCTTGGTTTCTCTAGAGGGAATCTGCTGAGGAAGTCTCATCCAGTTATACCAGATGGCAGTTGTGCCATCATTGCTCACCGTCAGAGAGCTTTCGGCTCTCTCACCAGCCAAAGTCTCAAAGGTGAGCCGGGCAGCAATGCCAATTTCATCCTACAAGGAAGAGAAAAAAAAAGATAAAGATAACGATTTCTACTCTGTCTGGCAGGATTTATCTTGCCTGAAGTTATATCACAAATAAGGGGTTGAGCCTTGGTAGGCAAACTTGTAAGGCAGGTCCAATGAAGTGGCCATTATACAGAGAAAGCCTGGGAATCCGAGCTTCACACCACAGACAGAGCAATCCCTTCTGTTTCTAGATCTCTCCGGAGCAAACATAGGGATACTCTGTTACACTCAGAATAAATCCCCCGTTCTCTGGCCTGGGAGTGACATTCATTGTACAGCTTTGACTTGGGAACTCAAGCAGGCTTAGCTTGACTGAACAACAAAAAGTGCACAATTACCCTGCGAGAAGTGCTGCAGTCGATCCAACGAGCAGGCTGGCCACAGAAATTTAAAGACGGACCTCGTACTGCTTCTGGAACCACATCGGGGTAGTCTCTTAAGGAGTCACTGCTAAAGAAAACGAGCCAGCATTTTTGTGGAGCAAAATTCACTTTCAGAGAGGGGACAACCAGAGGTGATTCACAAGGCCCTGTAAGAAATAATCCCAACTAATCCTTCTCCACATAGTCATCTCTCCGGGGACAGAGCCCTGCCGATGCGGTGAACTCCAGCGAGCTACTCGACACCATAAAGGAGGACAGGACAGCCAGACACCTGCCTAAGAAAGACTGAGGATACATCACTGAGCAAGGAGAAGAGGCCCTCGGGTTGTGCCCGTTACTGATGGACAGGACAGGGGAAAAAAGGCAAATTAACGATGGGAGTGAAAGGCTGGAAAAAAGACAACCAGATGGAGGATATTTAAAGCAGAATCCCCACCCTGCCTAATGTAAGCTCTGGAGCCACACAAAGGGAAGACTGGAGGAAGAGCCTCAAAAAAACTTTTCTCTGATTCTTGCTTCTTAGGCACAAGGCCCCAAGGCACAAAGGAACTGCTTGATTCCTGAATCTGGTGATTATAATATTATAATATGCCTTTTCTTGTGTGCCAGGGGAGACTTCTCTCTGTTCTGGATAAGAACAGCTAAGAATACCCTTACAGACTGGTGGCGCATGCCCAAAATTATTTATTTATGCCATGAAGTAAAACTTACAGGGTCTCAGACGCTTCAGGAGTGGTGGAACGTGGAAAAGGCTCTGTTGAGACAGATGTGAAAGGCTGCCCTTTACCAATCACCTCCAGACCATCCAGATCCTGGACACACAGAAAAATTATCAGCTCACAATTTCTCTTTTTATATAGAAAGGAAGTTAAAATACCAGACAAATGCACTGAGTCAAGTAAAGTGAAGTTGAGGTATCTTGCTCCTACTATGCTTTTTAGAGGTATCCAATGTGTGTTCAAGAGACACAGGAAGGAACCAACTCTGGATTTCCCAAGAATCCTAGATGACTGCATTCCCTGCTACAAATGATGCGTGGATGGGAAACGTTTCTTTCACACACATTTCTCACCCCCAGAGCCTGGTTTCAGAAAGAAAAAGGTGAGGTTTGTTCAGTTTTTAAGAGGAGGGGCTACCTGCCTTCAGGAGATTATTTCAGATGCGTTGTCTTCCACATGGGTAAAGGTGTCTTCCCTCTGCCCTGAGGCACTAAATCAAAGTCCTACACCAATATTTCGCAGAGTTTTTTATGGCCTAGGTCTTGGCAGCTGCATGGTGCTGGTTCAGGGTCCTATTCTGAGGCTTCTAGACCACTCCATGCCACACTTCGGGAGGCTAGACAACTCTTTCATGGGTGTGGCCCTTTGGAAATGTGGGAACTTCTAAGATAAGTACTGTGGGGTTAAGTTTTAGATTCTTAATGCTTTCTTAGATCCAGTTCTTGGCAATTTCATGTCACTCTACAGCATCTGACAAGAGACAATGCAAAGAATGTTCTCGCTCATCTAGTCTTACCGGCTTATAAAAATCTAGCTCCTCTAGGACAGATTTTAGCTCCTGTCGTCGATGTTTCAGGAAAAGACTCTTATCCCAGGTTAGATGGAAAGGGATCCTCTTTGGAGGCTTCAGACCTGTGGAAATTCCCATACAAGAGCTCACTGTCTACGTACCCCCACGCCTGTTAATTTAACTCTCTGCTAAACGTTGGTCTCACAGTGTTTTAAAGAGCAGATCCAACAGATGACTAGGAAGTAGCTTGTGCTGCAGCTGTCGCAAGGGACAACTATAATGTGAGCTTCTGCACTTGCAGAGGTCACTATTTCTTTCTGCTGCTCCCTCCACATTCGCACCCCATTTCTTTGGAGCCACCCCTCTGTGACGTTCCCTTACTCGTTTCCATCCGGACAGTGTGGGGTTTCCCCACATGAGCAACTGGCTCTGTGCAGCCACGTTCCCTCTGAGTCAGCGTCATCGTCAGGCCAGTGAGTTCATCTCCAATACGCTCAGGCTGGCTCCAGAACTCGCTTCCTCTCCGGTAGCCCTAGGGCAGAAAACAAGGCTCCCACTGATGCTTTCAGAGGCGTATGACTGCCTGCTATTTTCACAGGGACTAGAAGCTAAAGAGAAGAAGGGGTCTATCTCTGCTTATACAGATATTTTAAAAGTCTATAAATTATCACTTTCTGCAGAGCAAGCCAAAATTTTGATCAGGCTGCTGTCAAAGACAAAAGAAGACTTTCTTCTAACTAGTGCTACATGAAGGTTGAATGCTATTAAAACAATGCCTCACATAAATGCAGATTCTTTGATAGCACTATAAATGTAAAAAAATTATTTTAACATTGGATACTCCCATAACCCTCCTGACTTACCCATACCCCTTTCTCCATGGCAATCGCTAAAATTTGAGCCTGAAGCTATCAGATCTTTCTGTCCCTGGAACAGCAGTTGTGGCATGTCCCCATGCCACTTCTCAGTGCATGACAGTCTTTGGTGATAATCAAGAAATGGCACTTGCAGTTTGTTAGCAAGGAGACGAAGCACACCACCTCTTTCCTCTGACTCGTACAGATAGCACAGTTCATGTTTTTATTTTTAAAGTCACTGAAAGCTCTGCTTGCACACTAGGCTGAAGGACTTACGGTGGCTTTGATAAATGTCTACTGACAGGTCTTCAGAGACATTACTCATAGCACCAGTGTCTTAGCTCTTTCACAAGAACAGAACAATCAGGATGCAGAAGAAGTGAGGCTCTCACCTTTCCAGGAAGCAGGGCAGGGAGACTCCGGTCAATGATGTCACGTTCTTCCTGGATTTGCCTGTAATCCTCTGAGATGTTCATCAGCAATTCATTCTCTGGCCTCTGAAGAATTTCTATAAAGAAGAAACATCAAATCATTAGGGCTGCACTTCTGGGCACACCCTTTACCACTACCATTGTTTCTGTGTAACATTCTTACACTGTTCCCCAACAAATCCATTGTCCTTCCCCCAACCAGAACCACCAGGTCACCTCCCCACAGCATCCACAGCCACTAGCACCAGCAGCATGGGGAGATCTGAGAAGATGGAAGTAGACTGCAACAGCAACTGGATTAACCCCAGTCAGCTATGACCATTACAGTTGTGGTGCCATCAAACTCCCCCATCTGTACGCAGAATTTCACAGAATGAGGCCTCAGCTTTTCTCACCTCCTAGGTATTTCTCTTGCTTTTTCCTGATTGCCATATTACGATGCCAGTTCTGGAGAGCTTTGTGCTCTGCCAGTGGGGTCTGATGAACCTTTTTCTTCTTCTCTTCTCCATGTTCCTCTTTTAAAGCTGTCACAGACACATCTGGATGAGAAATCTCAATAAAATCTGCTAACTGAAGAGAACAGAAACGTTAAGTTAACCTCTCTGTGCACACACAGCCACCACAAGAACGGGAGTGAGAAGGAGAAAAGAATTCTTCAGATTGACAGTACTTTTATCTTACCACTCTGAGAGGAACCAAAACAGGGCACTGAGAACACACTCAGAAACAATGGAAGGATTTATCTGAGTAATTTGACTCGAGCAATGGTATTGCTGCAACACCAGCTCTTCCCTTGCAAGCCTGACGCCATCAGCACAAGCACATTTGGAAGAGGAAGCCTCTGTAATTCTTCCCTCCATGACCTCGTCCTGCACACAGGACTTCAAAACCTGCTGGTGCAGTTTCACTGAAGACAAGCCCTCCCTGCAGAGTATGACAAGGCTGGGAAAACCACACCTCAGGCCTGACTTGTTCCTGATAGGTGCTGAAAAGCATCGAAAGGTACTGTAGGCACCGCACTCCACCTCTAGAAAAGTGCTGCACAGCAGCATTTTCTTAACTTTACAAACCAACCTGAGCATTTCCTCTGGTCAAGGCTTCCATCTTGAACTCCTGAAGACTTCCCAAAATGTGATGGGAGAGAATCTCTTCACAGCCATCACCAAACAGTTCTGGTCCTACAACACACAAACACACAAAAAACCCAAGCCCAGAGTCAGGTCACTAAAGCTAGGCTTAGCAAAACCAAAACTCAAAGATAAGATGTGAAGTTTAACTGTACCAGAAAAAGCCGGTGGTTCCCTGTGTGCCTTTGGGGAAGCAGGATATGCTACCAGGGAATGTGCCACCTTCTTCGTCTCTTTGGGCTGACGTTTTTGAACAAAGTATTTCCTACTAACAGGAATTCTCCCAGCATCATAGGGAAGGTGTGGAGTGTGGAGCTTCAGAAAATAAATGGCCACAATGTAATTAGGTACATACTGACTCACCTTTGTTCCTTCTGATCCTTCCAGGATACGCAGAGAAGTCCTACCAGTCATTACAGGCTGTTCCTCCCCAAGCGGCATGTTACACCACTGCAGGGATACTAGCTTAGTTACTGTCTTACTCTTCTGTACTCTGCTTTATAACTGGGGCAGAGAAAAAAAGAGTTTTAAATCACTTTCCCAATAGTTTTCAGCTGTGTCACTTGGTATCAAACACTTCAACTCACACAGTTTGACCGGAGTTTTGGAAGGGAACTGTTACTTGGTTACTAAATAACTTACACGTCTCATTAGACCAGGTAATTTTGAAGACACAGATGACACATTGTCCCATTTGAAAAGATTGTGTAAGGATCAATAATCCTTTACTTTTAGCAACTGACCCTGATGATCTGACAAGTCATAAAAAGCAGGACAGACAAAACAGAATGAGAACTGAACTCCAAGGGTGGGTTTTGGTTTAAGTTAACAGACAGCACCCTCTGTTAAACACCCAAAATAAGAGGATGGTGTCAGTCAAGGTAGATGTTTCTATCAGTAGAAATACATACTTTCTCCAGGTCCTCCACCTTAATTGCAAGTGCCTGGATGTCATCTTGCAGAACACACGAAATAGGCTCAGGCTCTTCTGCAGTTGTTGAGGACAGTTCATCTGTCTTTTCCATCTCATCTGAAAAAACAGATGAAGAGACCTCCTCTTCAGTATCCCAAGGAAACCTCATCTTTCTCTTTCAGCCTGGTTATTCATTTCCAGCAGAACTATGTTTTGAGGGTAGGTTTTTTTAAGGTTATACAGAACAATTAAATTCAGCATCTCTTATAATTGGAAAACCAAACTCAGAGACGCTACAAGGATCAAAGTGGGGATTCAACTGTCTCACACTTTATTCTACATGAGAGACAACAGAGGAGATAAATACAGCCCATGCTTCCCACAGATAGAAGAACAAATTCCTGGAAAGTTTCCTACACCACCTGCAAGCACAAGCTGCACTACGCTCAGCAAGCCGCTGGATTTTCAGAAGCTCCTAAATTTTTTTTTAATAGCAAACCCTCTGCCAAGCCAGGCCCAGGCCACCACCGGGCAGGGCCACAGCTGAGGCAACCCCACCGGGGGTTTGCTTCTCCCCTTATCCTTAACCTGCAAGTCCCTCCAGCTGCGACTGGCTCCTTGCCACGTGTGGCATCGAGCAGCCCTTCCGAGTGAAAAAAGTAAAACAAGAATAATAAAAGAAAAAGAAGGCCACTGCGTGGGGAAGGGACTGCTTATGGCGGCTTCAGCTCG